TTATAATACAAACTTCCCAAACCACCATCATATCAAATTTCAGATTTAACGAACTATCTGTTCACGTAATACCAATTGTATAAAAAATAGCACCGATTAGTACATTTCGTACAAATATAAGACGTATTTCCAAACCACCGTCGAATCTCCAACACAGATACCATCAGTAATTTAAAAATAAAATTTTAGAATTTGATCTCTATCCTTTCACCCAATACCAAATATTTTCGTACAATTAGAGTACACATTTCCATATTTCTAGGCTACACTGAACGGCAAACTCAAATACAACATTTTACATTTCCAGAACTATCCATCCACCCAATACCAAATTGTACCAACTATAGTACTTTTTAGTACTTTTCGTGCACTTGTAGTACACATTTCTAAAAACCACTTCTTTATCACAACCTACCAGCAACAGGGACAAATTCAAAATTCTAGCTTCATCCGTACATATTAAACCATACTGCTCCAAATTTAGTACAGTTCGTACACTTAGTACACATTTCCAAAACTACCTTCATATATCAAATTTACTTTCACCTTGATTCTCATATCACGTAGTACCATTTCCAAAACCACCTTCATATATCAAATTTACTTTCTAACCTTGATTCTCATATCAAGTTTTTAGCTCTATCCGTTTACATAATTCAAAATGGTATCATTTTAGAAGTTTAGCATCATTTTGAATCATTCATTATTCAATCATCATTAGAACTTTTTGTAACCTTAAAGTTCGAGTTTCCAGAAACCCCTGGTTACGCCAATCCTGCACTCCATCAGTGACTCTCATTCAAAATTTCAAGTTTTAGTACATTTAAGTAATTTCCGCATCCTTTTAGTACGAATTTACAACCAGCCTTATCACATGCCTGCGTACAGAGACTGGCCCTCGTGCAAAATTTCAAGGTTTTCCCTTCAGCCGTTTAGTCTGGGCGCTGATTCTTAAAAAAAAATGTACAATATTTATATTTACATTGCGAACATTTACCAAGGGTGTTCCTTGTACAGATTTTCAGAATTCTAGCCATTACCTCAAAATAGTCTTAACTATTTACTGCACATTAGTTCTTTCAAGTGATAAGATATTTAGTAACGTCTATCACTTAACGTATCTTAGAGTACGAATTTCATTCCCTTATCTTAATTTCAATTAAATATAGATATGTATTTAGGATCTATTGATAGATTTTAAATATGAATTTTCAAAAATTATTTACCAAAAACAAATCTCTCAATACCATTCGTACAATCTTTGGTTGCTTTTGGTACTATTCGTCCAGTCTACTTCGAGTTTCTAAAAATTCCGTCTTATAGAATCGAGCAATCTGTCATCACTTTCCTCTTTCATTGACACATTCCCATTGAAAACAACGCCCAAAATCTTATATTTACACCCCAAAAAGAAAGTACTTACATTTTAAGAATATATGTATATTTCAAGTGTTTCACATAATGTCCTGGTAAATGATCTGCAACAAAACAAACAAAACTTATAAATATATAATTTCATTTGAGTTTCCAGATTTGTTTTTCGTGTTATCAAATAAAATGTCCCATTCATCTCTGAAGAATCTCGACCAGAGCGACTATAGCAGCGGTCACGCATTCAACAGATGAACTCGAAAATATTTTCCAAAGAATTTCCCTCGAAACAAAAATATATAAATAAAATGATTTTCATATGATCATGGCCCGAGGAAATTCATTGAGAAAATCTATTCACCAGAAACAGAGGCAATTAGTATCTGTATGCGAGGAAAGCATTTCACTTCATATACCGATTAAGAGGTATACAAATAAGTTCATATTTCGTCTTCGATTCATGCGCAAATATAAGTATGTATAATGCGTATGTGTGTGTGTGAACTTATTCGGCTCGCGAGTAAACAACACAGATCGCAAAAAAAAAAAAAAACACACCACAATATACCCATGTATTCTTTGCTGCTAATAAGACAAACAACTTGTTAAGACTCATTAGAGTAGATCATAACAACTTTTTCCGCATGATTTTCCATAAATAAAAAAAATATTTTTTTATTGTTTCAAAAAAGTCAAACTTCATTTTTTTCATTTTTTGTGTTATTAAAAATCACCGTTTACAGTTATAAACAAGCACTGTGAAAGAAGTGTTTTTGTTGTTGGAGAAAACATTTTTTTAATTTGTAAATATTTTTTTAAACACAATCCTAATTGCTTTCACACAATCCTTATCTAGAAACTCTTTGAATCACCTAGGCTTCTTCTGGAAAATTGTAGCCAACAAAAATACTCAAATTCAATTCAATATTTTAGGTGAACCCTGTAATCATGAATTCTCCTATATCTGTTTTAAATTATTGGACGTTACAATAATTTTGGAAAATCGCCAAAAATTATGGGAATTTTGAACAAACAAATAAACCTCTCTGCTTATGTATGTACATGTATGTTGATAGGTACACATTATATATATCTAGACATCATATTGAGTTTAGGAGCGTAGTACAGTGTACTCCATTGAACGGAAACAATCTGGAACTTTTTTAATTTTTAGTAAATATTATCCACTACACTTTATTATCCATTACAGTTTATTATCCACAACACTACATTTAGACCCGTGAACGAGTTCCGTTTCAGGCATTTAAGGCCATCTATAGATGTTCCCCGTCTACCTGTCTGGTGCGAACGATAATTCTTAAAAGATGTTCTGAATCGATTCAAAGTTTACTTCGCACACGAAGAGACAACATTCTTATAGAAAGCGAAATGTTTTACCGGTTATCCAAAAACATCGCACGCTCCAATATTTTTGTCAAATTTAATCCGGTATAAACAGGGACTTACCCCAGAAAAGTTCAAATTTTCAGAAAGGCCTATATTACAAACAAACATGTCAAACATCAAATATCGGTCCATTTTTTCGTGCCTTTCCCACAGAATCAATATTTTTAATAATAATAACCCTCGTAAAATTTAAAATAATTTCCAACCTTCTTTCAATTTAGCACGTTTTGGTATTTCTGTCAATATCGCAACTATTCAGTAGTTGGTCATGATTTTAAAATGTTTTGAATCCATAAAAAGAGAGTTCAACCTTTGCAAATCGGACCAACATTTCGAATATTTATAAATTGCATAAATAGTTTCCCTAACTTAGCGTTTTCCAATATTTTTACGAAATTGGATGAAGTGGGATAATAGGTTAATTTACTGGCACCTCCGCCACAAACGATAAAAAAAAATAAACCTGAATCTCATTTAAGGCAAGAAGAGTACCCACGTCATGCAAATTTCAAACAAGTAAAAAACACCTAAGTTCGGCAGGGCCAACATTTTAGTACCCTCCACCATTTTGAGGGATCTTGAACAATAAAAAAAAGTAAATATACCACTTTAATAAAAACCTTTATATGGTTAATATACGAAGACGTAGACCTGCATAAGTAATTTTTGTCATGTATCGATTCCGAACTTCAAATATAAATTTGAAACAATTCAGTTGAATAATGTCGCTATTATCAACAGATTTGAAACAATTACGGAGAATAATGTTGCTAATATCATAGAAATACCGAATATCGTTAATCTCTTCCAGCGGGTGACGTACTCAAAAAAAAAAAAAAAACTCCAGGTGTGGATTCTCAGACATTCCATTGAAACTTTTGGCTACAATCATCAAAATACTGAATATAGGAGGTACCGCTATATGGGGGGTGTACGATATCGTGGACTTATATAGGCAATTCTCTTCCAGAGGGCAAACTTTTCAGAAATAACTCCTCGTGGACCGATATAGCCCATCTTCGTGGACTGATATAGCCTGTACACAAAAAACGGATCTGTGCAAAATTATAGCTTCCTATCTTAATTCGTTTGACTCTAGTGTGATTACAACATACGGACGAACAGGTCTAAATCGTCTTAGATTTTTACGCTGATCAAGAATATATACTTTGTTAGGTCTAAATTATTATTTCGATGAGTTACAAACGGAATGACAAACTAAATATATCCTCTATGCTATGTATGGCAGAGGGTATAAAAATCCGATACTATTTCTTTTGACACCTCCCGTACAAAAGGTGATTTTAAAAATATAAGGATTCTGTATCGTCTAAATTTTTCGCATGTTAGTATTTTTGGTTGGTTTGGACAAGGCGGGAATACGAACTATTGGATTCACTGCCTTCGCACCTCCAATATCACCAAACGACATCAAATATAAAGCAGAAATCCGAAATTGTCACTCTTCTCGAATTCGAGTCGAGACTCCTTCGAGTGAAAAAAATAAACTGATTATACTTTGCGTGCTTTCTTGGTTTTCGAGTGGGAGTAAATTCTCTCGAAATCGATCATATTCTACTTTGACGAGCACTCTACGTATGTGAAATTTTTCAATTCAAAACTAGAACTAAGAATATTTGGTATTTTCAAGCTAAATTCTTTAAAAAACCAGTAAGGAAAGCTCAAATCGGGCGGGGCCGACTATATGATACCCTACACCACTATGCATAATTAGGAGAGCTCTCGTAAAAAGGTTTATACAGGGCATTTCAGAGCTGTATGAGATATTTGGTACAAAATCAAATCTATCTACTTCTACTATTTTACGAACTATAGCTATCTCTGAACCGGGTTTCTCCAAATTTGACGTATTAGCTTCTAGACTGAATTCGGTCTTATGTACGAAAATTCATGCCATTTGGGCTGATATGGCCATTTGATGCACAATTAACACGAAATCGGATGAAGAGATATGGGAGGCATATCCAAATCGGAACAGATTTTAATAAATTAAAATCAACTATTTTGGGCTTTATCTGATATCTGGTACCAAATATCATTCCTGTGGAGTGCATATTACGAATGTGAGGGACTTAAAGACCAAATCGGATGAAAGATATATATGGGAGCTATAGCTATATCTGAACCGATTTTTACTAAATTGGTGTACTTGCTTCTAAGCTGGTTTCTGTCGGATTTGCCAAATTGATGCTATTACGGCCATTTGGTGGTCAATCACCAAATCAAATTAAGATATATATGGGAGCTATATCCAATCTGAACCGATTTCGATAAATTTTAAACCGCTATTCCTGTGCTCCATCTAATACCTGGTACCAAATATCACGGTTGTGAGTGAATATTACGAATGTGAGGGACTAAAAACTAATCGGATGAAACATATATAAACGTTGTGGAGTGCATAGTAGGAATGTGAGGGACTTAAAGATCAAATCGGATGAAAGATATATGGGAGCTATAGCTATATCTGAACCGATTTTCACTAAATTTGATATACTTGCTTCTATACTAACTTTGGTCCGATGTACTAAAATTCAGTCCATTTGAACTTATATCGGCCATTTGGTGCACAATTAACCCGAAATCGGATGAAGATATATGGGAGCTATATCCAAATCTGAACCGATTTCGATAAAATTACCAACAGCTATTTCTGGTTGCTGTATCTTATATCTGGTACCAATATCCTTCTTTGGAGTGCAATATTACGAATGTGAGAGGCTTAAACACCAAATCGGATAAAACATATATATGGGAGCTATAGCTGTTTCTGAACCGATTTTCTTGTAATTTGTTGTATTTGCTTTAAGGCTAATCTCGGTCACATGTGTCAAATTCGGGCCATTTGGGCTAATATTGGCCATTTGGTGGTCAATTAACCCGAAATCGGATGAAGATATATATGGAAGCTATATCCAAATCTGAAGCGATTTCGATAAAATTTAAACAGCTATTTCTGTGCTCCATCTAATACCTGGTACCAAATATCACGGTTGTGGAGTGCATAGTAGGAATGTGAGGGACTTAAAGATCAAATCGGATGAAGATATATATGGGAGCTATAGCTATATCTGAACCGATTTTCTCCAAATTTAATATACTTGCTTCTAGGCCGAACTCGGTGGGTGTGCCAAAATTCAGGTCATTTGGACTGATAGTGGGACATTTGGTGTACATTTAACCCGAAATCGGATGAAGATATATATGGGAGCTATATCTAAATTTGATCCGATTCTCAATTTCAATAGGGTTCGTCCTTGGGCCAAAAAAATATTGTTTGGAAAATTTCATCGCATCGGATAATAATGCGACCTGCATTTTGTTCACAAGAATGCATGGACAGACGGACGGACGGACGGACGGACGGACGGACAGACGGACTGACATGCATAAATCGACTCAGAAAGTGATTCTATGAAGGTTCTCAAAAGTAACTATGGGTCTATCTCGTTCCTTCTCCATGTTACAAACAAATGCACAAAGACATAATACCCTTACCACTATGTGGTGTAGGGTATAAATATGGGTGCTTGTGCCCCCTGTGCCCCCACCTTGTCTACGTCCGTCATAAATACGAACTCACAGATCAGCAAACATAATAATAGTTTCCACTCAATCCCAGCATTTCGAGTCCCACTCTTATTTTTTAAAACAGCAGTAACATGAGAGCTCTCGTACA